CCAGGAAAACAGAAATTACTCTAAGTATTTCGAACACAGGGCAGGTAACAGAAGGGTTCAGTTATATAATAGTGGATGAGTTCCCAAGCCGCTATGAAGTTACCTGCACCCCCACCCCCAGGAGCGTTTAGATCTGCCTGGTGGAGACGTGGCAGGCATGATCTAGCCACCAGAAAAGATAAAACCACCATCACACTGTCTGAGATCAGAGACAGGAGAAACAGCCTGGCTCTGCCTTCCCCTCTCCCCTCCCTCCAATCATTCATCTCCCAATAGCCAAACCCTGCCAGTTGACTGGGGAGACAGAAGTACAGCCTTCAGGGGGTTAGCCCCCTGGGGGAGGAGCCAGGTTGGTCTTAAGGGCAAGAAGACACAGGACAAGGAGCAGAGCACCCATCAGAAATCGCACCTTCCTTGTGAGCAGCATGAGAAGGTGCAGGGTCCCGAAGCACACCCCCACAGCCGTGCTGGAGATCAATGATGGGGCCTTGCCCTTTGGTGTCCCATCCTTTGTCTAGGTTCCATGAGGATCCCACTTTTCTGCTAACGTATTATGTTTCCACGAAGTCTAAGTTCGCTGGGGTTGGGCTACCTCTTTATGTTTCTGTTGACATTGACAACAACTACTTACTGATCTTCTGCTTTGCATCAGACATTGTGCTAGGTCCTGGGGAAACAGAGCTCAGAAGCGTGAGAGGACGTGTACGTGAAGGCATCTCGGCCAAGGGGAAACAGGTGAAGAACTGTCATGTCTGCCACGTGGTGAGTGACGTAGCTACGATGAGCACGTGGGGGCTCTGATAAGGGTCACACCCACCCCCCCATAGGTTGGAAATGCAAGGATAAGATTGTCTTCTGAGAGTTTAATCTGCAAAATCAGTGCAAATGGGTCAGAGTGGAGGTAAGCAAAGACACATGAAATATAGGTAATAACCCCTAAGGCTCCAACCAGCTCTGAAATCCTGGGACTCTGCATTCTACACTCACACCAGAATGCCACCTTATTGTGTACCTACTGTATACACACGGGCCAGGTCTTTCCACGCATGATCTCCTTTACTGGACTCCTGTGTCTCTGAATGTCACGCCATGAATGCTTGAACTTTATAAACAAAAATTTTACAAATGGAGAATGACGGAATGACACGAGATTTTCTTTGCCCTGCTCGGGGTCACAGAGCTAAGAAGTGGCAGAGAAGGAAACCCAGCCTCCAGATTCCCATTCCTGCTCTGAGACACCAACTACTCCAGACATAGGAGTGTGTTTGTTGCAAAAATAAAACTTGGCTAAAGTAAGACTCCCTTAATTTCTACTCAGTTGACAGCTTCCCACATGGAGTGCCAACTCCTTTAAAAAAGAATTAAGTACATATAATATTTGGTTATTATTTTTCACATTTGAACAGCTGACCGGGTCAATAGGAGAGGATGGTGGTTTTCTCTCCTTATCATTTTGTTTTTTAAATACAAAACCTTTGCAAGGTATGTTGCTTTTAAATGTTCCGCAACAGTTGGGAGCTCATTCTTGGCTTTTTCACAACAGTGTTCTCTAAGGTGGGACAGAGACTTTTTCACCTCTGTCTACGGTCCCCAGTCACCCATCTGTGGCGCTTGGAGAGCTAGTGGAATAGCCGGCTCCTTGAAGACAAGTAGGAACAGTCTGGAAACAGGCTTTAGAATGAAGAGGACAATGGGTTTTGACTCCACTGGGTTTCTCTGGGAAATTGCTTAACCTCCCATAGGTTTTGAAGAGTTCATTTTAATTTGAGTATGCTTCTGCCTTATATAGTCTTACCATTCCTCTGACCCTAAAAAAATTTCCCTACAGTAAACACAGAACAGTGAAGTCAACTATTATAAGTTGTCCATACGTAAAATGAAACAAAACAATAGCTCATCAATAGATACACTATTTAAGAAAAAAAGACATCCCAGCCTTGATACTTTCTGTGCATTCCTGCAGCTGGCTCTAAATTTGAGGAAATTATTTTATTCCCAATGGAACAGGAGAGTGCAGTGTTTATGCCTTCCAGCTACTTACTGTGAAAGGAGGAAGACTTCAGGAGTGAGTGGACCGAGAGAGCTAGGGTTGGTTCCAATGGCCATCATGATTGGCCTTTCTAGAAAGGAGCTGTTTATCTGATGGCTCTGCTGCTCATGGTTTTCAGGATTCTCTTTGTGCGATGGAGTGGGAGGTAATTGTCTCTTAGACATTTTCCAAATGCTAGCTGAACTGGATGGCTGGCCAAGAACCGTGTTCTTGGGGCAGGCTGTCATTCGGTAATCACTGGCTAAGCGCTAGGCTGAATGCTTTGTGGGGGGATCTGCATTTCATCTTTTAACAAACCCCATGAGGAAAATACACCTATGATTGATGGACACAGAAGCTCAGATGATGCTGAATTTCCTATCCTTTTCCCATCACAGCACCCCCAGGGTTGAGAGGACGAATTTCTTGACACATGGGTATGCCATTGACAGTGCGCTGGAGGGAAGGCTCAAAGTTGGACACGGTAAAAGTACCCTGAGGAGGTTAAGAAAATGGCTGGCTGAGATTTAAACCGAAGGCTGTGACTCCAAAACCTGTGCTCTTAATCTCTGATTTATACTGTGGTGTACCATCAATTATTTGCATAGTGTTGTAAAATTCTCACAAACATCTCCAAGGGGTGAATTATACATCTACATTTGAAGGCTGAATATAGCTGAACCCCTTATGGTGCTGGTTTTGGGACCCAGGCCAACCCTCACTTGATTAGGTTATCCTGTTGGATTGTGTTTCCAATGATTAGTGCTTTTTTTAGCATCACCATTTGACTGTTTTCATGGAAATCCTGTCATCTCAGCAATGACACTGTAAAAAGATTCTACTCTGTGTACCCTCGGGTGGGAGGGCATTGGAAGTCGAAATCGCAAACCAAGCCAACAGCTGAGCTATTACTACAGGAAGATGGAGAGTCACTGTTTCAGGCTAATTGAATGTACCTGATGGCCATCTAGAAAAGCAAGTACATTCCTTCACAATTTTTCCTTTTTACGCGTTTCTGTCCACTGAGAAGCTGCGTAGGGTGTTATTCCTTCAGGGACCAGCTAGTCAGTATCCAGCCTCGCAGGCGGGACCATCTCTGTCACAGGACACAGAGGCAGAGAGGGAGCACGGCTTCTCATCTGCGTAGGACTCGATCCTCTGGTCCTCTCTGCGCCAGGGTCTCTTTTGGCCTGCAAGCTGGTTCAGGCGTGTGAGTTCAAGACGGTTCGTGCTGCGTTCCTCTCCCTGGAGACAAAACCTTTCCCTAGACTTTGTTCCTCAAAGTCATGGTTTTCATCATGTGTGCATTTATTGCTTATTTACCTAGAATGTTCGATCCCACGTCCACCAAGAAAAGTGGAAAAGTACATAAATGTACTAAATATAACAGAACTACACACAGGTTTTCATCCAAAGGAAACTCTTCCCCATTTCAGTGGTATTTACTCTCTGTTAAGCATGGATGGAACCAAGAGGCATGTATCTGTTACCCCAACGGGGAGGAGAAAGGGTCGAGCCACGACTGGGAGCTGACATCCCTGCACTGAGCCTTTGCTCCAGGGGCCCAGAAACAGAAGGTGCCTCTTCACGAAGCAGCTCCCCCACAGGAGACGGGAAAGGACAGGAAAGGGCAACAGCACACACCCAGTTTTCAAATCCATGTGATGTTTACGCAACGCTTGGTTAATCTGTGCCTCGCAAAACCGGCCCGTTACTGCAGCACCAGAGATGGTGGTCACTTAACTCCTAAACGCCTTCCCATTTGCCATATAAGCGATGCCTTTTTCAGACAAGACCATGTTTTTTTCTCAGTTAAAAATGAGAATCTCTGAGGAAAAGAGTAGATATTAGATCTTTATATAGCAGCATTCACCTCAAGAAAATTGGGCCAGGAGCCCCAGCAAAGGGGGAAATTGTGCTAGATGTGTTCATAGAGATAAAACCAATAAAGCCAGCAAACGTGGGTGCACTATATCATTCATTTTGTAAGAAAGTTCTACCACGGGACTGCTAAACCTGAGAAAAATACTTCAAATCACATGACTGAAATCAACATCCAGACCTAGAGCAAAACTGCTAAGCAGTAGGATTTATGCTGTGACAAATATTTTCAAAAGAATGAAAATTATGTAAACCACCCCCTCCCTCCCTCCCTTCCTCTAAGCTAGACTTAGAGGGAAAGAAGAAAGAAAGAAAAAAAGAAAGAAAGAAAGAAAGAAAGAAAGGAAGGAAGGAAGGAAGGAAGGAAGGAAGAAAGAAAGAAAGAAGAAGAAAAAAAGAAAAAAGGGAGAAAGAGGGAAAGAAAGAAAGAAATAGGAGAAAATCCTTGCTGGGCTGGAAGAAAAGCAAGAAAGAGAGGAAGTCAGTGGTCAGAGTGGCTGACAGAAAGTGTAAGTGCTAGGGGTAGGGGTGAGAGGAGCCCTCAGAAGGGTTTGGGGACCTCAGAGCAGGGGACTTGGGCCTCTAGTCCCCACCAAGAATCCTGCAAGGACATATGCTCACGGAGAGCCGACGCCCACACAAGGGGCTACAGGAGACCAGGGCAAGTCGAGCCGGGAGACAATCCCAGATAAACCCACCACCGCCACGTCCGGGCTTCCTGTTGTGTCAGAGCAACAAGGAGGAGCTGCTGAAGCTTTCCCAGGGCTTCCTGCAGACCCTTCCTGCCCGAGACTGGGCAGGAGTGGCCGGGAGAAGGCCAGTGGACTGGGAATGCCCTCATCACTGTGCGTGTAATGGGAAACCGAAGGGCCGGGGTGGACTATGGACCTGGCCGCGGATGGCAGAGAGGACAGAGGCCAACAGCCACAAGGAGGACGGTGCAGTTAACTGCCCGCTCTTTACGAATGTCCAGGTTATATATAGGAATGCCAGGAACCAAGATCATCTTACCCTCAGGGAAAGGCTAAGAAAATTAAGAGCGGGAGGAGGAGAAGAATCTTGAAGAATTTACTCAAGAAGGACTGGGTTTCCCAAGGCTACAGTCACATCTTGACACAGTTCTTATCCTGATATGTTGAAGTTCTTGGAAAGAACCTGCTGATTTTTAAAAAAATATTTTATTTATTTATTTGAGAGAGAGACAGAAAGAGCATGACTGGGGGAAGAAGCAGAAAGAGAAGGAGAAGCCGACACCCTGCTGAACAGGGAGACCGACAAGGGGCTCAATCCCAGGACCCTGAGATTATGACCTGAGCCAAAGGCAGTCACTTAACTGACGGAGCCACCCAGGTGCCCCAGAATCTGCTGGTCTTGATGGACTGGCAACGGCACGTCAGAAAAATGCTTTCACTGGCTCCCAGATAGAGTAGGTTGGCAGCCATCTTCCCTCAGACCCATTGGGGAGCTGGTACCTGCCATGGTGTGTTACAAAAACTTTCCCTGTTCTTCTAGGACTACTATGAAGCTCCGGGGAAGGAAAACCTCCCAAAGCAGACAGTGTTGTAAAGGTCAAATTCTTTAGCAGAATTGCTGAAGAGAAGATTAAGGCTAAAGAGGGGGCAGGGTGGGAACAGGGGACTGTGTCCTGGTATTTTGAAGTCACATGGGGTAAGGGCCATTGAATGCTAACCAGCGCTTTTCAAAAAAAGGGAAAAAAAAGAACTGGGTTTTAAATCAGAAGTAATTGAATTTACTTCGAATTAGAAAGATTTCATTTTCTATTATCAAGAAGAAACTGGGGCTCATGAGTTAATTTAATTCAATTACGGAGAAATAAAATTACTTCTTAGCTCACTTGACACGTACAATAGCAAAAAATGTACTCCCTTGACACACTTTAGTGTAAATACACTGTTACTATTTCAATTGTATCTCGAGTTTCGGAATGAGAGGTTTGAGGCCCTCTTAAAGGAGTTTTACTCAGCACAGGAATTAGAAGGAGATTTTTGGGGGATGTGTAGTGGGTCTGTGGCTGGAGGGAGAGGAGGGGGACATTGGGGTTGTCCCCAGGACCGACTGCCCCCTTCCTTCACTGCGAATCAGGCTTGGCGACCGCGCCCCTTCTCCTGTCGGGGTGAGCCCGTGTGCACCTGCCAGCCGGGCTCAGGAACGCCCGGCCTCGGCCACTCGGCACATGACAGTTCCCTGCGGGGGCTGGTCATGGGCCAGCAGCCAGCACCGAGGACGGGCCTCCTCTCTCCGGAGAGGAAACGAAGGTGGAACCAGACTTAGTTTGAAAAGGACAGCACCGAAGGTAGAGGAAGATGTGTGGCAGAGGGCTCGATCAACACTGCCCAGAGACCACGGCTCCTGACCCGTCCAGGGCTGAGGGCCTCGGTCCCTTCCTGTTGATCCCCGTTTGAGCTGGGCTTTGTGTTACGTGCAACCGAAAACCCTGAAATGTCACAGTTCAAGAAAGGGACTTTCTCTGAGTCAGGTAGGGCCTCACAGTCATTACCTCATACTTTAATGCCTTTTTTTTTCTACAAGGGTATTCGATGAGAAAAACAGACAAAGAAGTAAAACCGAATTCTATGAAAAACCCAGAGTATCCTTCCCCCCCATAGTTCATATTTATCTTCCCTCTAACCTCTCCTGGTGACCTGCGCACAATGGCTCTTTCTTTCCCTTCCTCCCTCTTCTTCCCTGCCTTAAACACAGGAGGGAGGACGAGGAGACGGGAGAAGGAGCGAGAAGGCAGGGGGCTGGCAGGCAGTGGGGCACGAGCGACAGCTCCCTCCTGCCGACTTGATGGAAGGATCATTCCTTCTCGGCTCTTATATGAAACCGGGAGCGTGTGCTCGCATTGTCGGGGTACTGGGTGACTCCAAGAGAACGGCCCATTCCACAAATTCCACTCACGGCTCATGACCAGGTGACGCGAGCCGTGGGACACAACGTTTGGTGACTGTGTGTTCTGTCACAGCTCTCGAGCCTGGCAGCCTCCGGTGACTATATTTCTCTCACTTGGTTTCTCTCTCACAAACCACTCCAAGGCTCTTAGGGTGACCTCCTGGGCCAGAGTTTAGAACAAGCCACCGGACAGGACACTTATCAAAGTGCAAATATTGACTTTACAATGTGGCAGTTAAAAATACCCTGCCAGAGACTCCACGTGCGTCAGGGGAGGCCAGTGTCCTGCACAGTAAACCCTGTACCCAAGACTTCCTCCGGGAGGCCCTCCCGCCCACATTCTTCCCTTTCTCTCCTGTGGCTGCAAAGTGGCAATGTTCAAAGGGGCCGTTGTCTCTAGGACATTCGATTTTTAAGTTTCTGCGCTTTCTGATCGATTCTTTGGCTTTTGGGGAAAAAAATAATTCCCATATTGGCTGCTGCATACAATAGCCCGCTAGCATCGACTGATTGATTAGTTCATTCATTCATTCATTCATTCGTTCATCTGGCATCCAGAGCATGCAAATCCAGGAAGAGAGGTGTGTTCCCCAAGGCTTGGTTTCAGCTCACAAAACCAATGCTGAGATCCAGAAGGAATCTGAGGCCAGAGTCCAGACTGTTCTGGAAATAGCATGTGGGTACGGCTCAGGGCCTGGCCAGGGAAGAGCAGAGGATAGAGCAAAATATTTTCAGATGTGAGCTAGTCGGGGGACGCCCTTGCTAAATCATAGTAACTGGGTCCTTGCTTCCATGCCGAGGGAAGGTGGATTTAGAGTCAAGACCCTGCTTGTCAGAGCTGACTTAGATCAGGTTCTGTGCTTGGAAGAGTGAGACTGAAGGACCTTGGAAAAATCTGCTCAAAGAACTCTCAAAACATTAAACAATCCAATTGGAAAATGAGCAAAAGACATAAAGAGACGCTCGAACCAAGGGGATATGTGAGGACACATGAAAAGGTGTTCAACAGGCTTAACCATTAGAGAAATGCAAATTACGAGCACACTGGGATATCATTAAATGCATTAAGAGGAACTAAAATAAAAAATAGTAATAATGCCAAAGGCTGGCAAAGATGTGGAGAAATTTGCTCTCTCATACATTAAAGGTGGGAATGTAAAATGCCACAGCCACTCTGGAAAATAGTTTGGAAGCCGCTTTAAAAACTAAACATACACTTACCTACGACTCAGCAACTGCACCCCTGGGCGTTTACCCCAGAGAAATAAAAACTCATGTTCCATGTAAGTACAGCCCCTTTATTTGTAATAGCCCATAACCGGAAACAAAAATACCCCTCAGCAGGCGAGTGGTTAAACAGACTGTGGTATATCCATGCCGTGGAGTACGACTCAGCAACACAAAGAAATCGCATTTCTATGACATTACCAAAGTGACAAAATTAAAAATGGAAAACAGATCAGTGGTTGGCAGGGGTTAGGGACTATGTAGGAATAACATGAGGGGAGTCTTTGTGACAGATGGAATAGTCCTATGTCTTGATTACACTGGTGATTACATGACTTTATATATGTGATAAAATGGCGTGGAACTATACACAGTACATGGTACCAATGTCAAGTTCCTGGACTCCCTATAGTACTGTAATTATGTAAGATTTATGTAACCGTTCAGGACACTTGGGTCAAGGACTCACCAGCACTCTTTCGTACTACTTTTGACAACTTTCTGTGAATTCATAATTATTTTAAAAATTGGGAGAGGGGTGGCACTTGGGTGGCTCAGTCAGTTAAGCGTCTGCCTTCAGCTCAGATCATGATCCTGGAACCCCAGTCTCGAGTCCCGCATCAGGCCCCCAGCTCAATGGTGAGTCTGCTTCTCCATCTGACCCTCCATCTGACCCTTTCTCTCTTTTGCTCTTTTTCTCAAGTAAATAAATAAAATCTTAAAAAAAATTTTTTTTTTTGACCCTACCAAGAGTTTCTGGACCTAAGCCAGATGCTGTGAATTCCATGGTTTGGGCCATTTCTCAGTGGTCTTCTGTTCACTGCCCCACATTTCCTCAGTGGGACCCCCTCTTGGCCACTCTCTGCCCAGATAGTTCCCGAGAAAATGCATGACCTGGGCCTCAGCGGTCAGCATATCATGTTTCCCTGGGCCAGTCTCGACTGGATTTTGCCGGAGCTGGAAGAGAAACTATTGCTCTTTTGCCCTGGCTTCGGATCTGGAAGGATGGAGGTCTGGCAGCCACATGGGGGCTGTGAATGGCACTGTTGCCAGGGAAACACCAAGTGAGAAATAGAGAAAGAAATTCCTTTCCAAAGAAATCATGGGAGCCTTGCATCCAGTCATGCCTACCTTTGGACTGTTTGTGAGCCAACACATCTCAGAAACTGCGGAGCCGGCGGCCCTCTGCTGGGCCCCACGACACCTGGATATGTAAGGTTACTGTAAGCCAGGGAGAGGAAACGGTCGACCCTTCCATAAACAAAAACGCAAACAGCTCTCAGGGTTGCCCACGAACCCATCTCCCTGCATCAGGGGTACTATTGGAAACCTGCTCCTTGGGAATCCCGGCCACACATGGACAACAGCAGCTCTCCTAGGAGTTGATGCTGAAACGTACCCCGGCCACGTGAGCACCTGAGCGCTGGGGCAGGAAGAAGTCATGTTTCATTCAATAAGGAGGATGCTGATCCCCTGAGCAGATAAAATTGTGGTCCCTGTTTCTCCCTCCAACTCTACATGTCCTTCTGATTTTTCATTTTTCTCACTTTATTTTGCTCACCATTTTGCTTCCAAATTCCTTCATGGGTAACCCTGTTTTTGTCGCCTTTCTCTTGTTAGCCCCAGTCACGAGATCCATGGTTCTGACCCAGCTTGGCCTCTGTCCTCCTCTCCCTTGTCCCTCGTGAGGCCCCGAGGAGGTCCGAGGCCCGCACCTTCCATCTCCTCTAGCCCCCGCCTCCCAATCTGGGTGAAAATGAGGCTTTTCTCCCACGTGTGCTCCGGGTCCAGCTCCTCAGGACTTGCTTGGTCAATGATCTCTGCCCTCTGGCACCTTCAGCCTGACCTCTCTGCTGGCTGCTTCTCCTCGGCCTACACACATGCCCCAAGGTCTCTCTTTTCGTGGAAACAACACTGGCCCTCACCCTTTGCCTCCTGCTAATGACTGCCCTATCTCTCTGCGTTTCTCAGCCAAGTTTCTGGAAAGAACATTCTTCCTTGATGGGCTCTGTGCTTCCTTACATTTTATTAAGTGCCCCAGTCCTTGGCCGTCTGGCCTCTGGCTAT